AACGCCCTGGAGTCCTACGCCTTCAACATGAAGAGTGCCGTGGAGGATGAGGGTCTCAAGGGGAAGATCAGCGAGGCAGACAAGAAGAAGGTGCTGGACAAGTGCCAGGAGGTGATTTCCTGGCTGGACGCCAACACCCTGGCGGAGAAGGATGAGTTTGAGCACAAGAGGAAGGAGCTGGAGCAGGTGTGTAACCCCATCATCACTGGACTGTACCAGGGGGCGGGTGGCCCCGGGGCCGGCGGTTTTGGGGCTCAGGCCCCCAAAGGGGGCTCTGGGTCTGGCCCCACCATTGAGGAGGTGGATTAGGGTCCTTAACCTTCATTGCTCCCTGTTTCTTTTCAAGTTGGAGGTGATCTGCGGACCTTGCTGTTGCACTGGATTTTGTTCTACCTTCCATTTTCTACTATTTTAGTTCATTCTAAAGTTAGGTTGTTACCTGATAGTATTTGTCTTTATTATTTCTTTTTAGTATACCAGTGTGTTTGGTAGAATTTTTTGCATTTAAAGTAACTGGTACTGTAAGTCTTCTTCTTCTTCTTCTTTTTTTTTTTTTTTTTGTAAAATGAGTAAATACTGCCATCCTCTGTCCAATTCTGCTATGTAAACACCAGAAGTCTTGGAATGTCATTTTAGGTTCGTATGGTTGTTTTTTATAATTTGTATACTTCATGATGAAAAATAAAATGTTAAAAAATATGAGTCTATTTTTATTTGAGGGGGGAATAACGGGCTCTTGGAATATCTGAATTGCATAGATCGGTGAAATGGACAGTACTTCTGAAGAGATATGCACTGTGAGGAGCCATGATTTGGCTACTTATGTTGGGACTTAATTGTAGGTTGCAAATGACGTTTGTGCTAGAAAATTCTAGGTGCCCATTTCCCTGGATGCACCTTTTTTAGGGGAAAAGTAGGGATGGGGGCTGCAAAAAAATGGTTTGAGGGATAAGTTATTGTGGGTTTACAGGCAGTATTGAGAGGGGTTCATGGCTCCTTATTTGCTTGCTCTTAATGTGTGCAGACCCCTTAATTTGTCCCTTCTGAGCTATGAGTTTTCTGGTCTATTATTTAGGTTATGAGTGATAATTGGGGGTGTGTAAAGCAGCAAAAAGGAGATGCAGATACAGTGATTTACTTTGTAAATCCCAGTTCGGGGACCAAGTGCAAATTATTAGCCTTAGTTTTGGTTGTCTCACTTTAAAAAAAAGAAATTTGTCTGAATGACCTCACTTTTAAAGTTCTACATCATTTTGAGCAGAAGTGTGGGATAGATAAGCAGTATCTTCAGCTGTGGTCACTTTGCTGCAGTTATCGCAGCAAGGGCACAGAGGGGGAGAGTCTGAGGGTTTCGGGGGCATGACAACGAAGCAGGTTCTTTGCTTCACCCCAATAATCTTAAGTAATTCTCATCTCCCCTCCTAATTAGGTATTTTAAAGTTTTTTTCATAGATTAGCATGTGGAAGTGGTCACTTCGACTACATCCAGGGTAAAATTAGCAACAAGTGTTTTTTTCACACTGCCTCAACTCTGTTGATACTGGGTCCTATCTGGTTCTAAGTGACGGTTTCACCCCAGTTCTAATGATCAATCACCTCCTTTTCCTTTTAGGGAGAGTCTCAAAACCATAGGAACTTAAAGTAACATCTAATTTAATTATGAAGGAGGAGCTGAAAGGAGTAGAGTGTAGAGCTGGGAAGATCAAGGAAATGGGCTTTCTTCTTCCTGACCTAGCAGTTAGATTAAAGGTCCTTAGCATTTTCCTTAGCCTGGAAGAATCCCAACCTCCTGCCTTCCCAAAACTGGGGCTATAAAGAACAACTCCAAAATAAAAACAAATTAAAGTTCAATTTCTGTGTTTTGTTGAAACTTCACCCTGTGGGGAAAAAAATCCAATGTTTTTAGGAATGACAAAGTAGAGAAAGCCCTCCTTGACAGCTTGTAAAGGAAAGGGAATATAGTAAGCTCTTTTGGTTCCTGGACCAAGTCTCAAAGGCCTGCTTGACTCACAAAATAAGTGAACTATATACTACTATAGCCTCCTACCATAGGCCTTAGAATGTACAGTTACATTGCTGCGGCAGCAGGAATTGCAGGCTTTCTTATCTTCCCCACCTCCCCACCACCCCTACCCCGCCCACCCCTTGCCTGCCAGGTAGTAGAGGGAATAGATATATGCAAGCTCTGGAGACATGTTTCTCCAACGTGGTGGTGTATTAAAATCATCAGGGGAGGCTAAAAAAAATACCCATTGCCTGGTCTCCACTAGGAGTCTAGTCTTTGGGGGGCGGGCTAAGGTGCCTGAGTGTTTCTGCTGTGCAGCAGAACCTGATTGCATCAGAAGCTGCTCCTGATTATGTTTTTAGAGGGCTGGGGTATGGGAGAGGGAGGGAGCTGTCAGTGCTCCGAGGAGCAGCAGGTAGTGGGAAGGGGGTTTCTGCGGTGAATGGGAATGCAAAGGCTTGAAAGGAGTTGTTGAAAAGAGTGTTGATTAACTCAGCAGCGGTGATAGAGGTAAGGGAAATCTCCCAGGACAAACAGGTCAAAAAAGAGAATCCCTGAGGGGACATAGTACTTTAGAAAGCAACATCAGAATATGAGAATTCAGGGGCACCTGAAGAGCAATGCAACTCTTGATCTCAGGGTCCTGAGTTTGAGCCCCACATTGGGTATAGAGAGTTAAAAACAAAACCAAACCTTTAAAAAAAATTTTTTTTTGAAAAAAATCTTCCAAATGTCCAAAAAAAATTTTTTTTTAAAAAGGATATGAGAATTCAGGCTCCCTGCACATACACATATCTTGGAATTTAAGGCAAAGTTACTTTGCAACATCAACTCTGGGTGGAATTCAGTCCTTGAGAGCCGAGAAATGTACCAAATGAACGAGTGAATACTATAGGATTCTTGGAAGAGATTTTTAAGTTTTTATTATTTATTTTTATTCCTAAACTCTACATCCAACTTGGAGCTCAGACTCACTACCCCAAGATCAAGAGTTGCCCCACTGAGCCAGCCAGGTACCCCTGGGAGATATTTTTCGATAGAAGTCTGAAATCGTGGGGCAAGGGAAGTCAGATGAAAGGTGACTGCGGAAGTAAAATGATATATTTCCTATACCCACACTGGCCTTCTTCCAAATTTTAATCTGTGTTCACTGTGCCTAAATTATGTGCCTTAAGGCTGATTCTGGGGGCGCCTGACTGGCTCAATTAATAGAGCCTGCAACTCTTGATCTCAGGTGGTGAGTTTGAGCCCTATGTTGCATGTAGAGATTACTAAGGGGAAAAAAAAGGACTGATATCCTATGATCTGGAACCCCTAACTCATCCTCTCACCCAAGTGTCTTTCTCACAAAAGATGAGGATGCCAACACACATCACCAAACATTAACTGCAATGAGGAGCAATAGAAGGTCCAGGAAGGTGGGATTTGGGATAATTTATGAGTTGATGGATTAAGTGGCCAAGAGCAAATGACCAGATTTCTGAGAGAGCAAAACTAGCAAAGGGAGAACAGGGCCTGGTTGCTACACCACCATCATTTGTTTTGCTTCCAACCCCTGTGAGATATATAGTGCTATTTAGAGTGTACTGAATGGAGTGAGTCCACTGTTTCTGGCCAACTCCCAGGCCATGCATGGCTCAGAGGACATGAAATAGGAGATGGGGTGTAGTTTAATGGGAGTAGTTCAGCTTAATGGAGACTTTAATGGTTTTGTGTTTTAGTAGTGTAAGAGAAGAAAAGTTCTGCAGATCGGTTGCACAGCAATGTGAATATGTTCAACACTACTGACTTTACACTTAAAAGACGTTAGAATGCTTTTTTAATTTATCAAATGGGGAGCGCCTGGGTGGCTCAGACCCTTAAGCGTTCGCTTTCGGCTCAGGTCATGATCCCAGGGTCCTGGGATAGAGTCTCGAATGGCATCGGTCTCCCTGCTCATTGGGGAGCCTGCTTCTCTCTTTGCCCCTCCCCCCTGCTCGTGCTCTCTTTCTCTCTCTCTCTCTGTCTCAAAAATAAAAATACTTGGAAAAAATAAGTTATCAAATGGTGTATTTTTTCAAATGGTGTTATTTTATTTTTTTTAAAGATTTTATTTATTTATGCATGAGACACAGACTGAGAGAGCAAGAGAGGAAGGCAGAGGGAGAAGCAGGCTCCCCGCTGAGCAAGGAGTCCAAAGCGGAATTCGATCCCACAATTGTGGGACCACAACCTGAGCTGAAAGCACACCCCTAACCGACTGAGCCACCCAGGAACCCTCAAACGGTGTGCTGTGTTTTTTTTTTTGTTTTTAAGATTTTATTTATTTGAGAGAGAGAGAGAGAGAACGCAAGCAAGGGGAGCAGCAGGCAGAGAGAGGGAGAGGGAGTCGCTGACTCCCCGCTGAGTAGGGAGCCTGACGTGTGGCTCCCTTCCGGGACCTGGAGATCATGACCGGAGCGGAAGGCAGACGCTTAACCATCTGAGCCGCCCAGGCGCCCCTCAAATGGTGTTTGGTTTTTTATTTAAAAATTGTTTATTGTATGTCATTTATATCTTAAAGCTGTTTAAAAAAAAAAAGACATTAAGGTCTGCAGGCTGCAGTGGGTTGCGAATTCAGATTTCGCTAGCTAGACGAAGCGGGTGACAGCGTCCCGGAGGGACCCGGATCCCAAGCGGGCCCCGGTGAGGAAGTGGGAGAGGTCTCTCGGTCATTACTGCAGGGAGCACTGACCTTCCCTGGGGAAGCAGCTTCGGAAGAGAGCACCTCTGCGCATGCGTCTGGCCCGGCCGGTCGAGAGAAAAAGTCGTCCGTCTTTTGTTTTTCAAAATTAACAAAATATGCCCATATTTGCCCGGAAGCGTGTGACACATTCTCCCCTGCCTTTCTTTCCTTTGATTTATTCTTATTTGGCCGAACGACTGGGACGACGCCGTGGGTCGAGCCTGGCATGGACGAAGACAGCCATGCCTGTCAGGCCCCCAGCCTCACGCCGCTATAAATAGCCGGGGACGAGGCGTTGTCGCTCTTTTTGTGCAACGGTCTGGTTGCGCTGGATTGCGGGAGTGCTGCTTTGCCCCTCTCGGGGCTGCTGGCTCCCTCCCCGACACCCGGGGAGGCGATGGCCCCGGCTTCCTGTGAGTAAGTGTCTCGGGGCCCTGCGGGTGAGGGGGCCGCAGTCTCGGGCTGATCAGGATGACCTGCCGTTACAGACTAGAGTTTCTGACGCGCCCGTGACGCCGCTCTTCGGAACTGACCCAGCCCAGGGCAGGGGGGACGCGGCTGGCGTCGCCCCGGCCTCTGCTGACTCCCTGTTTCTTCCCAGGCCCCTGGTCCCCGCAGGCGTGTCCGCAGCGCCGCGAGGGTGAGTGGATTGCGCGGGATGGAGTGGCTGGTGATGGTCCTGGGGGAAGACGGGGGTAATGATGAACCCAGGTGACTCTGAGTGTCTCGCTGACGCCATCACCGCAGCGCGCTGACCATCTCCCTCCCCCGCGGCGGGGTTTTTCTAAGGGGGGGGGGCTGGGGAGAAACTCATGGCCGAGAACCTGTGCTAGTAATGAATGCCTGTGTTTTCTCCGCCAGGTTTCGTAAGATGTCCGCCGGAGTGTTAACCGTTGAATAAAGGTGAGTGTTAGGTGTGAGATCCTTCTCCCGTGCTTCTCACCGTTTTATCCCCAAACCTGCCTCTTTCATGGGGTCAGTGTGGAATCTATTTTCTAATGAACACGCGAAGCAGTGCAAGTATTTTACCTAGTGATTTTCCAAGGACTGCTTTTCGGTTTACTTTTCTTTTGTGACAATTAAAAAGCTTTTGTAATTCCCCATGTTTTGTTCAAGCGTGGTTCAGTCTACTTTACTGCTGTACATACTGGGCTTCCCTGGTGGCAGTATTTTTTGCAGTTCTGAGGCTGCCCGCCCCCCCAACTTTACTCTTTCCCACTTAGATCTCTACTCTTCATTTGTCACATCCTTACACTGGGGCAGTTGTCTTTCAGTGTATTACATCCCTTCCCAGAATGGCCTCCCGGGATCCAGGTCTCCTTAAATTGGGAATGATGATTTCTCAGACTAGAGTCTCTGATGCTGGTCTTGATGTCAAAAATTAAATTCTGACTCATTTGGAGAACTGGATACTTGAGTCTCAGAGAATGGGCCTACAGGGGGACCTTAACTTTGCTTGTCCTTCTCATTGGGTTGTCTGTCCTGTTTTCATCTTTGTAGCGTGATTATTCTGGAAGCCTAGCTGGGGTCGCGCCCTTTCAGATTAGGCACCGGTCTGGTGGCTGAAGGGCTGAAGTTTTTGAATTCGCCCTCTTGGAGAGATGTCTGTGATGCCTAGGTAATGGCTCCTGCCACTTGAACCTGCAGGCTGTGATGAGAAGAGCCACATTGTTTCTTTCTGGCTACTATGGTGAGTGCCCTTTTTTCTTGCAGCCCCAGAGTGGTAATGATAACCTTTTAGAACCATTAGCATTTCTCTGAGGATCTTTGAAACCGTTGATTTACTCATGTTTCCCCTATCCACCCAGGTTCACATCTTAATTCCAGTTGTCTGCATGGTTCTAATATATGTTCTTCTATGAAATTTCAGGTGTTAACGCAGAGGATTATCTCCTTCTGGTATTGGGCGGATCCTAGGAACTTCCATCTAACCTTCCTGCATTAACCTGTGTGAGCGGCAGCTGTCAACTTACTGGAAAAATGAAACTGTCTGGGAATTTTGAAATGCTTAAATATTTTTAGATCAATGAGACTTCTTTAACAAAAATACTTGTTTTTATCAAAAAGATTCTAATAAAACATTTAAAGCAAAATAAAAGTTCGGTTTCCATAAAAACAAGTTGGTATGAAAAGATGTAGGGAGGTGCAAGGTAATCATCTGTGAATGAGTATCACAGCTGACAGCTATACATCTGTACCACTGTATACAGAAAGCTAAAACATTAAAATTAAGGATTTTAGGTGGTGTGCCACAGGATTTTAATGGACTAGGTGTTAACAAATAAGGTTTTTAGGGTGTTGAAATACTGACACAGGTAATTTGCCTTTTGAAGAGTCAGTGGAAACAAATGAGTCTTTATTTTAAAAGCATATACCCATGGTGGTTACCAGGGGTTGGGGAAAGGGGTAAATGGGAAATTTGGATAGAGAATTTCAGTTTTAGAAGATGTAAAGAAGGGGTGCCTGGGTGGCTCAGTGGGTTGAGCCACTGCCTCCTGCTTGAGTTGTGATCTCAGGATCGAGCTCCGCATCTGTTCAGCGGGGAGCCTGCTTCCATCTCTCTGCCTGCTTGTGATCTCTCTGTCAAATAAATCTTAAAAAAAAAAAAAAAAAAAAGGTTCAGATAGGGACACCTGGGTGGCTCAGTTAAGCTTTGGCTCAGGTTATGGTCCTGTGGTCAGGCTCCCTGCTCAGTGGTGAGCCTGCTTCTCCCTCTCTTGTGGTTCCCCCTGCTTGTGCTCACTCTATCTAGCTCTGTCAAGTAAAGTCTTTTTTTTTTAAGATTTTATTTGACAGAGATTACAAGGAGGCAGAGAGGGAGGCAGAGAGAGAGGAGGAAGCAGGCTCCCTGCTGAGCAGAGAGCCCCAGGTGGGGCTTGATCCCAGGACCCTGGGATCATGACCTGAGCCGAAGGCAGCGGCTTAACCCACTGAGCCACCCAGGCGCCCCTGTCAAGTAAAGTCTTTAAAAAAAAAGTTTGTAGGTTTTATGTGTATTTCATAATAGTAAAAATGGGGGGGAAGCATATTCATACTTCCACTATTTCAAAGATGGTTTTTCACCAGCATGTACAAATTGCCATTGCTGTTAGGACTTAAAAATTATCCAGTTCTGGGGGCACCTGGGTGGCTCAGTGGGTTAAGCTGCTGCCTTTGGCTCGGGTCATGGTCTCGGGGTCCTGGGATCAAGTCCCGCGTCGGCTCTCTGCTCAGCGGGGAGCCTGCTTCCCTCTCACTCTCTCTGCCGGCCTCTCTGTGTACTTGTGATCTCTGTCAAATACATAAATCTTAAAAAAAATTATCCAGTTTTTGGGAGGGGGGCATTTAGGTTTCTAGTGGCTGTAAACCAGTGCTGATTCCCTATTTGCACCCATCTGAAGTTGTATGGTATAATACACTTCCAAAAATAGAATTTCAAAGGATTTACTCGTAAAACAATGCATAGTATATTCATAAAGTTGTACAGTTTATGCTCGGTGACATCAGGGTCCTCATGAGATTGACTGTTTTCCCTATACCTGTCATTGCTACTCCCAGTGGGAACACTTGACACTAGTTTAGTGCTGTTAACTCATAGTACATTTTAGTCTTTTTTTTTTTAAGATTATTTATGAGAGTCAGTGAGAGCATGAGAGGGGAGAAGGTCAGAGGGAGAAGCAGACTCCCCATGGAGCTGGGAGCCTGATGCAGGACTTGATTCCGGGACTTCGGGACTATGACCTGAGCTGAAAGTTACTTAACCAACTGAGCCACCCAGGCACCCACTTTTTAGTCTTTTTTAACCTTTGCCACTTTATTAAGTATAATCTTTATCCCGCAATGTGGGGCTTGAACTTAAACTTCGAGATCAGGAGTCCTGTGCTCTATCAGCTGAGTCAGATGAGTAAATCTCTTTAAAACTACATTTCTTGGGGCACCTGGGTGGCTCAGTGGGTTAAGCCTCTGCCTTTGGCTCAGGTCATGATCTCAGGGACCTGGGATCGAGTCCCACATCGGGCTCTCTGCTCTGCAGGGAGCCTGCTTCCTCCTCTCTCTCTCTCTGCTTGCCTCTCTGCCCACTTGTGATCTCTCTCTGTCAAATAAATAAAATCTTTAAAAAAAAAAAAAAACTACATTTCTTCTGTATTTGCCTACAGAAAAAAAATTTTTTTTTTTTTGAGGTTTTGTGAGAGTGACTACATGAGCAGAGGGAGGAGGGAAGGGGGGGAAGTGGACTCCCTGCTGACTTGATCTCAGGACCCTGAGATTGTGACCTAAGCCAAAGGCAGATCTCCAACCAACTGAACAACCAGGTGCCCCTGCCTACTGTTTCCAGCTTGGTCCCCACCATTTATTTTATTTATTTTATTTTATTAAAAGATTTTATTTACTTGACAGAGAGATCACAAGTAGGCAGAGCAGCAGGCAGAAGGAGAGGGGGAAGCAGACTTCCTGCTGAGCAGAGAGCCGGACGTAGGTTTTGATCCTAGGACCCTGAGATCACAACCTGAGCCAAAGGCAGAGAGGCTTAACCCACTGAGCCACCCAGGCGCCCTAGTCACCATTTTATTTAAAAGAAAAAAAATTTTTTAAGATTTTATTGAGAGAAAGCACAAGCTGGGGGACGGCAGAGTGAGAAATAAGCAGACTTGGAGCTCAGCAGGGAGCCCTACGCAGGGCTCCATCCTAGGACCACAAGATCATGACCTGAGCCAAAGTCAGACACCTATGACTGGATCATGCAGGCTCCCCCCCCCCCCCCCCCCCCCCCCCCCCCCCCCCCCCCCCCCCCCCCCCCCCCCCGCCACCACCACTTTAAATTAGCATAGATAGGGATCCCTAGGTGGTGTCCCTGGAATGTCTGATTTGCTTTCAGCTCAGGTTAGGGTTGTGGGATGGAGCAAGGAATCAGGTTCTCTCCCTCTGCCCCGCCCCTTGTGTACATGCTAGCTCTCTTGCTCTCTAAAATAAATCTTAAAATAATAAATTAGAAATGATTTCCCCCCAGCCTTTATTTTTCTTAATCACCTTTGCTAGTTTTGTTTTTTTCTTCCATACATTACCCTGGTTGGTACTTTCTGAAAGACAGTGTCTAGTTTATGCTGCTTGCATTGCTGTTCCCTAATAAAGGATGCCCTGGGCTTTAGTCCTTCGCCTAAAACCTTAGGATTAGCCCTACTTAAAAGGGACTTGTTCTCTAAAACTTCGTGTATTAAAGTAGGTAATACTTAATTAGGATTCTTAAAATCCCTCACCTGGGCTCTTGTTCTGAAGACAAGAACCGAATTAGTCTGTTACCAGTCAAGGTTACTTTGTGGAGGGGATTGAGACTGGGATGGGGTGAGGGTAGGAGGAGACTTGGACTTTTTCCTCCAGGGATTTCTGAATCAGTACCATGAAGAATGTACCAGTTTATGATGCAAGGTCCCAAGCACATAATTTTGTTTGGCTCTTAGGCATCATCCTATTTTATCTACCTGTTTTATCTTCACAGCCAGATCTGTGCGAAACTTTTCATGTGCTTCACTTCATCGGATCCTTAAAGCTCAATCTTGCAACTTTTAATAGTATCTCCCTCACTTCAGGGGCAAGGAAAGGAAGTCTCAGGATGTGAGAGAATTAGCTTAAGGTCAGAAAGTATCAGTCTGGATTCAAATTCCTTTTTATCTGCTTTACAGTCGTCCAGCTTTAGAACATTACCAGTAACTGAAGCAAACCTGCCTTTTTTTTTTTTTTTAAAGATCTTATTTTTTATTTGACAGAGAGATCACAAGCAAGCAGAGAGGCAGGCAGAGAGAGGGGGGAAGCAAGCTCCCTGCCGAGTAGAGAGCCTGACACGGGGCTCAATCCCAGGACCCTGAGATTATGACCTGAGCCGAAGGCAGAGGCTTAACCCACTGAGCCACCCAGGCGTCCCGAAAACCTGCCTTTGATTCACTTTCCATTTTAATCCCTCCCACTCAGAGGAAACTACCCAGCTGAATTGTGGCTGTTACCATTCCCTGACTTTTCTTACAATTTTACTCTGAATATATCCCTAAGCAACATAGCGTGTTTGATATCTTTTTGAACTTAATAAATATGGAATAATTGTTCATGTAGTTCTATCGCAACTTGTTTTTTTTTTTTAAAGATTTTATTTATTTATTTGTCAGAGAGAGAGAGGGAGAGAGAGCGAGCACAGGCAGACAGAATGGCAGGCAGAGGCAGAGGGAGAAGCAGGCTCCCTGCAGAGCAAGGAGCCCGATGTGGGACTCGATCCCAGGATGCTGGGATCATGACCTGAGCCGAAGGCAGCTGCTTAACCAACTGAGCCACCCAGGCGTCCCGCAACTTGTTTTTTTTTTAAAGATTTTATTTATTTATTTGCCAGACAGAGATCACAAGTAGGCAGAGAGGCAGGCAGAGAGAGAGAGAGAGGAAGGGAAGCAGGCTCCCTGCTGAGCAGAGAGAGCCCGATGCAGGGCTTAATCCCAGGATCCCAGGAACATGACCTGAGCCGAAAGCAGATGGGTTAGTCCACTGAGTCACCTAGGCGCCCTGCAACTTGATTTTTTAAAAGATTTTATTATTATTTTTAAAGATTTTATTTATTTATTTGACAGAGAGAGAGACATAGCGAGAGAGGGAATACAAGCAGGGGAAGTGGGAGAGGGAAAGCAGTTTCCCGATGAGCAGGGGGCCTGATGCGGGGCTCGATCCCAGAATCCTGGGATCAAGACCTGAGCCCAAGGCAGATGCTTAATGACTGAGCCACCCAGGTGCCCCTAAAGATTTTGTTATTTTTAAGATTTTATTTATTTGAGAGAGAGAAAAAGCACCAGCAGGGGGCAGGAGCGGAGGGCGAGGGAGAAGCAGTCCCCTTGCTGAGCAGGGAGCCTGTTGCGGGGCTTGATCCCAGGATCCCAAGATCATGACCTGACTTAAGTCTCTGCTTAATCAACTGAGCCACCCAAGCACCCCTGCAACTTAATTTTTTTTGTTCATGTTTTTTCCTGTAATTTAGATTGTACCCTTCCATATACATTTCTGTCCATTTTTATTTTGGAGAAACCTTAAAAAACTTTGTTTGTG